CTGGTGTATTGCTACTTTTACTTAAGTAAAGGATCTGAGTACTACTTCCACCTGGAGGTGAGTATTGTAATTTTTACTCTATTACATTTGACAACTTTAGTTAGGCTACTTTTCAGATTCAGATGAATAAACTATTGATTCCAAGGGGAACATTCACAAGCTACCCAGCAGTACGTGAAGTACTTCAAATTATATGAGGTAGTTAACATTAGCTCTGCCTTTACCAACATTAAAGTCAATAATGATAATTCAATAATATAATACACATTCATGTGAAAAGTAATACTACAGTGTAAAAATACTGTGTTACATGCAAAAGTAATGTAAAATGATTCTTTGTTTTCCAGTGAAAATCCTACACCCATATTACTGAGACTTCACAGTGTGCAAGTACATCTTTGGAAGAATTTATGGACAAACAATTTTAATCACTCTTAAGACAAAATCACATAAACCTTGATGCTAGTTTGCCTTAAAGAAATTACTTTTATTTTTAAAATCAAATTGTTACACATCCTTAGACTGAAAGATGAAGGATCTATTCTCTACATAAAATCAGACAAAATAATGATAGCATTCTCACCTGGGCAAACATTTAGTACAGAGATCGGTCCAGAACATGTTTGGCCTAGCTTAGCAGTGCGATGGCGACGTGGGGAAAACAACGTACGCTTTATCTCGGCAGCGGTGAGACACATCAGGTTGACTCAGCCGCTGGCTCTGGGTCTTCTGGTCTCGGGTCGGGACAGACGGAAGGAGTGTCCTCTCTAGACAACAGGTTGTTTTTGCGCAAGTGGCAAGCCTGCTGGTAGGGGGGGCAGATGGGTGGCTGAGTAGGGGGGGTGTACTGATAATCTTTACCAGCATCCAACTGAAAGGAAACAGAAAATTGACGCCAACAACTCTGAGTATGTTTGTGTGAATAAAAAGAAGAAGGGAAAAAACAACAACAAAAACAAAATATAATGATCCATGTAGATAACTACATGGATCATTTTGAAAACAAGAATCCCTTAAAATGTTCCCAATTCATCCTTAATATTCCCCTGAAAATGCACCAAATATCTTCATCTAAATCGGTGTTTGATTGATAGAAATCCTTTAATTTGCCCATTAAACACCACAATTTTAAAAGCCAGTAATTTATAAATTTAGAAGATTTTAATAGGTACATTACTTTCCCCTTAATTAACACATAAATATGAAATATCAATTAAAGATCATTTTATGAGAGTTTTTAGATTTTGGTTTGTGTTAGGGTTCTGACAAAGAATTTAGTTTTAGTTGATTTTTTTTAGTTTTTTAAGAGTGTTTTCCCAGATTTGGGACAAATGAATGGATGCATCAGTGGTTTGGAAAATATTAAGGGGTTTTAATTAGTTGTGGAAAATGGACCCGAATGTTTTTTTAATTTATGAACCATGTTTCCATTTGTGAGTATGAAGCTGTGTCTCCTCACCTGTAGAGGGTAGGTTCTGTCGGAGTCGAAAGCACTGAGGTCGCCACATGCCAAAAAAGGAACAATAACACGGTTTGGACCCTCTAACTGGTTAAAGTCCACATCTAAAGAGCAGAGACCAGAACCCAGACTGAGACCAGACAGAGAACAAACAAGGAGACACACAAGGAAACTAAAGGCTGAGCCATACAGAATGCATGATAGCAAAATGGATGTGATCATTCAAAATGAGATTTTCAAGAAGAAATAACAGTTTAAGCGACTTCTGTAGTTTAAAGTCAACCATTGAGGACATGAGACTTAAAGCCCGGGCAAAGCAGAAATAAGTATGTCCCGAGTTTGAACTCAAAGTCTCAACTGGTCTGTCCTCAGTTATCTGGTATTAACAGTATCTAGGAACATTAACTGTATAATGATGCCTTTCTGTCCACATTTTCATTGGTTCTCAATACACCAGTTAACCAGGTGTAGCGTCACACTTGTCAAAAGACATTATGCATTTCAAATGAAAGGAAGTGATGCTGCTCCTGTCATCCACCAACTCCAGATGAGGTCTAGATGATCCAGTGGCACCATGACCATAATCTGTTCTGAGTGCATTTACACCTGCATTAACATGAGCTTTTCATGATCCAGATCAGTTGTCCAGATGCAGACCACATGTGGAAAAGAGCTGACAGTTACCGTAGGAATTATCCAGCAGAGGGTTGGACATGTTCGGGACGTAGCCTTCAGGAGGAGAGTAATTCTGACACACCGCGAACGCCTCTGCACACAGACAGAAGCTGCTATTTGTCAAGAGTTCATGCAGACAACGTGGATTCAGGTATGAGTTAATGTGGTGAAATCAACCTATGCTTTAGTCAGTTTTAGAAAGCCACAACCAACTCAGTTTCCAGCCTCCATCAAACCCTGTCTCCAGTTTTACCTATTTTTAAAATCCAGGGTAAAACAGCGGCTTATTCTGGGACTGCAGTACATAGCACAAAAGTGTCACTGATAAAACACACTGGAAGCGAGACCTAAGTGTCACTTAAGAGCTAGTGAAGCGTGATTCCATTCAGTCCACACTAAAGCGAGACATGAGTGGTGCCTTCGGAGTGTTTAAAGTCATTGGAGCAACTGTCTGTGTGTCAGCAGGACAGCTTATTTCAGGCCGACCAACAACACAAGTGTACTGGACAAAAATAGTTTTCATGTAAGATCATCAAGAAGAAATCGTGTTTTTAAGTAGTCTATCGATTTATTGATTTTTCCCCGGCTCATCACAGAGGGTGCAGCCTGATCAGTCGTAAGAGATTCCAGTAGAAACAGAAAAACACAGGATTTGTGTGATTTGAACACCTGGCCGTGGAGATTATGCTTCAGACCTGAAGCGTAAACAACGTGAGGGTTCTACAGGAGACGCAGCTCTCACAGATTCAGCGTGGTCTGACTCATTTGACATAATGGAACTCTATCTGCAATGTGAGCTGTGAACAGAAAACGCTTCCACAAATGCTTCCAGTGTGTTTTACCAGTCAGATGTATCACCAGTGACTGCCTGAGCTGAGTTTGTCTCCAGTTCAAACCGTACAATTGGTCGAGGTGGTGGTGACTCACCGATGCTGGAGTTCCTGCTGCTGCGAGGCTTGGAGCATGTCACACCAGTGAAGAAGATCTTCAGCTGAGAGTACAGTAGCGTCACATCTTTCCCTCTAAAGATCTGAGACACATGGGACAATGAGGGGTTAACACACTGATATGATAGGAGGAACACAGCCCACAACGCACCACTGCATACACCTGTTTACACTGTGGTTTATACACAGTGACAGGATGTGTTTTCCCATTAATTACAGTGATTTTTGGATGACTTAAAAAAAAAAGCCAAACTTTGGTTTTGTATGGATCGTGGAGTAGCTGTTTCCAGCCTTCATGCTAAGCTAAGCTAACTCGCTGTTGGCTCCAGCTTCATATCATTGCTGTCGGGCAGAAACATCGTATGTCCATATTTTGTCATTTAAATTTTTTTTTTCCATAAATCAAGAGAGAGTAGTAAAGACTGCGGAGAAGATCACTAGGACTCCACTGCCCTCTCTGCAGAGCATTTACCACCGCAGGGTGCGTAGGAAGGCTGCCTCCATCCTCAAAGATCCCACCCACCCCCCAGCACGGACTGTTCACTTCTTTGCCCTCTGGCCGGAGGTTCAGAAGTGTGAAATGTAGGACCACTAGACTGAAAAACTCTTTCTTTCTCTCTGCCATCAGATTCCTAAACAGCTAAGGAGATTATTACCAGGAAATATGTGATATACTGTTTACATTCTGTTTGCACATGCATAATTGCACATTGACTGTTGACTGCTGCACATGCTGCTCTCATGCAGCATACATTCTGTTATATTCTTGTATATTTTTTTTTCTACTATATTGCTGCATCTGCGCTGCTTAAAGTGCCTTAGATTTTGTGTTATTTATTTATCTACTTTATATTTCATTTGTATTTTGTGGCATTCATGTGGACGGCAAAGTAAGAATTTCATTGTACAGGGAAACACGTTTCCTAACTGTGCATATGACAAATAAACACTTTGAACTTTGAACCTGAACTAAATCAATGCTATTGATCAACCTTTACATTTGTCTGTGGGTTTTACCGACATTTAACAATGAAAAACATCAAGAAGGGCTTGTGAACCTCATTTGATTTAGTTAACGTGTTAATATAAGACACACAGATAAGTGGTCATATATAAAGACACAATACCAACTTTGACAATGTGATGATGAATTATTTTAGAAACACATGTTTTTTCATTTCCTGAAAAGTAGCGGTTTTGGAGATGCGAGGTTTCTGCCCGACAGTGATGATATGTATCAGTCTGAATATCTAACACTCCTGGAAAGTGAATAATATTCCCCTACTGTAAGGAAAACAAATCTTTATGTTCAAATGGAGAATTTGCAAGTGAATCAGGCTGTGTACCTGTGTCAGAGTTTACACCTGATTGTTATTATATCCTATATGTATACAATAATTTTTTTTCAACAAACTGTAAAATAAACAAATCAAATAAGGAAAAGTTGGACTCACTTTGGCCACAAATGTTCCTCCAGGTTTAAGGACGTGGGTGGTGATGTTCAGAGCCTGAAAGACGAGCAGCAGTCAGCATGACACCACAATCTGACAGGTAACTACAAGCACACCTGTGTACTCACAGCCAATAGGAGCTGAGCCTGGATGAACTCATCCACATCATGGAGCCCAGTAACTATAACAACAGAAGAGGAAACAGCTTCTGACAGCTGAATAAAACCAACAGGGAGATACAGGAGACTTAAGAGCAGGATGTGAGCATCTCACCATCCGGAGCTCCGTCACACACCACCAAGTCGGCCGGCTGACCCTCAAAGTGACGGATTATCTCTTGTGCTGTCGATACCTAAGAGGAAGAAGATGACAGGGGTCATGTGACTATCAGTGTACTTTGGAGGCAGGTTTTCCTTTGTTTCCATTTTATTGTACGTGTCAGACAGCTGTCACTAAAAGGTTAAGAGCAGGATGATGACTTTGTGTAAGAATGAAAGCAGTTCACTCCGCTGCAGTGCTGTTATGATCCATTATCCTTCTATAATCTGGTTGCATAGGGAATTTAAGAATCCTATGAAATCTCACCAGACATATTTGTAGATACTTTTTATAATTTGTTTTACTGCAACCTAAAATGGCTGAACTTGTATCAGGTTTTGCAAACAATTCCACTAAAGTTTGTACTAAAATTTAAAAATCTTCAATACAAACGTCAACATACATTTCTACAAATTGCAGAAATAAAGCTATTTTTCAAAAAACTAAGAATTTATTTAACCAGAGCCTTGGCTGACCCGCTTCACACAGTAAAAAGGCGGTTACTGTTACTGTGTTGTGTTCTGTTGGACCTTAAGCCTCTTAGGAATAGCTAGACTAGGAATAGAACTTCTTCAAGGATCCAAAGAAACTCCTAAAGAACCACTAGAACCTTTCAGGAATAACTAGAATGTCTTCGGGAACTCACTGAACCTCTCCAAGAGCTGAAACATGTCATGGAAAACTAGAACCTCTTCAAAGGCAAACGGTCTCTCCTCAGGGTCCCACACAAATCTCCTCAAAAACCCACAGAACCTCTTCAAAAATGACTGGAACCTTTTCAAGGATACCTAGAACTGTCTCAGGAACTCCAGAAAAATATCCTCAAGGAATCCCAGAAAATCCTCAAGACCACAGAGCCTTGCATAACCTTTTCAAGTATAACTAGAGCTTGGATTTAGGGTCACCTCCTGACCCGTGCCCAGATGTGGTCCTTGTAATGGGAACTCTCATATCGGCAGAGAACAATGGAAACAAAGGCTCCTGCAATGGAACTTGATTTGAAAAAGGAGTTTAATATTTATTCATCATGGCCTCACCTTGGTGATGTCTCCCTGGATTTGAGTGACTCCTGGCAGAGGAGCCATTGCCTGCAGGTCCACTGCCACAATCTTTACCTTCCCGGCCCCCTCACCCTTCTCCCTTCCTCTGAGTGGAAAAAACAAAACAATTAAATAGTAAGTGTGAAATGCAGGGCTCAAAATAACAGGGAAATGTTTCTTTAGCTTTGAATTTGAAATATATTATTTTATTGTTTTATGAAAATACAATTAAATTGTGGCCACAAAGGGGAAAAAAAAGAAAACCTCAGTTTCTGACTGAGGACCTGACTCCAGCTGCCTGGAGCTGCACACAAATCCACCACTCTGTTCACACCTGAAAGAGGAAAGAAAAACTGAATGAGTACATTTCAAACAAATTAAAACAAGAGAAGAACACGGCCAACATCACCTGTGAACAGGTTGAACTCCTGGTCGAGCTGCAGGAGCTTGAAGGCGCTCCTCGCTCTCCAGCCTTCCTCTTTGGCCATACGGTAGTAAATGTCCCGCTTGTCTTTGGAGGAGCGACCCATCCTGACCCAGTGGTGGAAGACCTTTTCCGATTGTTTACTGAAGTAAAGTAGAAATAGCACAGTATAAATATACAAGTTAAAGACCTACATTCAAAATGTTACTTAAGTGAAAATACAAAAGTACTACATCAAAATAAACAATACATACAAAACAACCACGTTAACGTTCTAACAAAGTTTATAAGCTATTTACACTTCTCACGCGTTGTCGTGGTTATGATGACGGAAAGACCCCTGTGGATAGTTGTCTGCGAAACGCCTGTTCAGAATGATACCACCACCCAAAATCTCATCTATGCTTAAGATTTAAGTATTTAACTTTTTAAATGATAGTTAAATTTTAATTTAGACACTTGCCAAGCTGAATAAATTTAGTAATTATTTTAATTCAAGTTTTAAAATTATTTCATTATTCTTACTTGTCAGTCGGTCTTTTCATTAGGGACCACGCGGTGGCGCTGCAGGCACATCAAACCGCTATAGAACACAACAGATCGAGTCCGAGTAAATTGACATATTTGTCTCATTGTTCTGCATTTTATTTTATGTATGAAACAAGCAACACACATATGAAAATAGACGCTCTAAAATCAAATGCAGACAGAATGTGTTCCGTGAAAATATGAACACTAATACTGGTAATATATTTTTAATACTGTAAAACGAAAAGATACAAAGGCTTTAGCTGTTTTGTTTCTATTGGTGAAAATGAACTAAGTAGGCTACTGTGCTTCATTACAGTTATGGAGTATTGGTTGTTTGAGTGCCTCTATTCTATACTACATTACAATTGTATGCCACTGCATTACAGAGGCAAATATTGTACTGTTTATTGGACTACAATTATTTGGAATATTTATTTACTTTTACTCTTCCTCTCCAATAAATCTTTCCAACATCTCAAGTGGAAAATAATAGATTACTCTCAACTAAACAACTAATAATACCTGGTAATCAAAAAGAAGCTCTTAAAGACACTTCAAATGAGAAATAAAAGGCTTTCCCAAACACTTCAAAGAAAAGTTAAAGAGTCTGAAAAATGCACATAACACAGTAAGTCAGTTTGTATACAAAAGGTTTAATTTGAAAAGTTTCCATGTACTCTGCTAGAATTACATTTCAAAACATCAAAAAATGTAATAAATGAAACAAGAATCAGAGAAACCAGTTAAAACTCTTAAACCAGACTTGAGAAATCTCAGCCCTGATCCACATTTTAATCTTGCTTTCAGCTCACAGGGGAAGCTAGAAAACAAATGAAAAACATTTCATAAAATGGTAGACGATAAATACTAAAAATGATGAGGAATGTCTCATTACTAAATAAATAAAAACTGAATAAAAAAAAATATATACACACACAAACATTTGCATTGACTGTGCATTTTACACCTCGACACTAACTCAAGATGAGGCTACAGCGAGAGCACAAGCTTTCTGTGAGAGAGAGAGACACTGAAAACAAATGGAGACAAACTCGGGTATCTGAAACTCAGACGTCGTCTCCACATCACCATCCAAAGCACTCAACAAAACCAATAACCCTCACCTGTAGGAAGACAAGGCTTTCCTCCTTTTCAAGGAGAGATGCAGCACTGAACACAGTAAAGGTTCAGACTCAAATCACATTTTTGTTCATTATGGCCTGAATGTCACTAAAGAGGAATTCTCACCCGTTTGTGTCCGGACAAAAGTAAAACACTGAAAGATGAAAGTTACATGAAAAAGAAAAATGTACATGCACCAGTGTAAAGTACCAAAATGTTATTGTTTTCATATCAGAACTGTGACAGAGGCCTCAACATGTTGTTTTTCAAGTGGTTTCTCAGGACTGGAAACGTTCACTGAACATTCAAGAAATGTAAGACAAGAACACTCTCATGTCAAGCAGATTGTTAGCCCAGCACAAAGGTTAAAAGGAAAATGGCCTGCCTGCATAGCCGGATGTCTCAAAGTAACAAAATCCTCCTACCGGCACTGATTAACATGTTACATGTGTTTAATTATCCTGTACAAAATCTGTACTGTAAAAATATCCATTCACAGTTTTACAAATGGGCCACATAGTGGAACATTTCCAATGAACAGTATGGCACATTACTGCCAATAACGCTAAAAGTGTCAGTTCTACACTCTGGTCTTTGTGTGGATTAAACACTAGAGTGCATTGAAGGTGTGTGGTGGTTTCTGTTACCTCTGGACAAAGCCAGGCTCAACATTTCTACTTGTTCCAGTCTTAAAGCTAATCTAAACTAAGATAATCAGCTGCTTAGAAAAGCGTCACTTACACGAGTGATACCAATCTTCCTATCTAACCGTCAACTCACAATATGTCCAACAGTTCTTCTAAGAATCAAGTCTCATAGTTTAAGATGCAGCACGTGCTTAGGACCAAAACACATAAGCAACTGACTGCTTAGCAATTAGACAAAAATGTTTGCTAACCATTTTTCAAGCAAAACCTAAAGTCCACTCAGTCTTGTTCCACTTTGTACAATATGATGATTTTCTGCCTTTCACAAATCATTGTCAAGTGAATGTTTGGATTTATGGCTGTTGAACAAAACAGGAAACATTTCAAGGTTTCACCTTCAACTCTGAGAAACAAGGTGGGCATTTTTCACAACTCTGACATTTTAACTGAACCAAGTAAATTAGAGATTTATCGACTGTAAAATAATAATTTGTTGCAGTCGTCCAGACCTTCGTTTATTTAAAGTCATGGGTAAACATTCCTCATAGATTATAGTTTTAAAAAAGGTATTTCATTGGAAATAAATGTGACTGGAATTTAACCACATGTTCATGTGGATTCTTTGGATTAGAATTTTTTACTCAACTAAAGGAGCCTCTGAGGAGCCCTCCAGACCCCCCGCCTGATTCCTACTCTACAGTTAGTTTTTTTCTGGATGCTGTTTACTGATGCACTTCTCTGCTCATAGCGGCTTTCAAACCCAAGGCACTCCGAAACAGGAAAACAAGACAACAACCCAGAGGTTGAGCTTAAGAGCGGATCCGTCTCTGAACAGGAGGAGGCGCCGTGGAGCTGCACAGTCAACGTCATGCTGAAGTCTGACCAGGACTCGCTCCATTACCAGAAATGCGCATCCTCGGAGCAACAGCACGAACACAAGGAACCTCAAACACCACCAGAGAACAGGTGTCAGTCAAGTCCATGCCACGACTGTTGACAGCCTCACACTGGCCAATCAGAGGCTCTGCTTGCTGAAGGAGAACGACGAGGAGGAGGAGTCAGATGTGAAGGTTTGGATGCTGCTGTTGTCCACCTGCTGTCCATTACTGCCCGTCACCCAGGGGTGGAGGAGGATCTGCTCCAGGGTTGGCCGATTACACGGCTGCTGGCTCAGACACCAGCCAATCAGCTGCTGGCACTCTGTGACAGAAACAAGAGGAGATGAAGAACTATAAACAGGAACAGACCCACTACAGCACCAAGGAGTAACCCCAGTAAACACATACTTTTAGTTGTTTAGTGTCTGTGCAGCAAGTTTATTTAAAAAAAAAATGTTAATGACTGTAAAAAGAAAGGGTATGGATCCGATCTAAAACCTGATCCTGTGATCAAAGCAGAGCCGACCTTGTCACACTTGGACTCACCTGTCGAGATTTTGCGTTTGAAATAGATCCGTCCCCTCAGGATCTCCTCGTCCTGTTCAAAGGGGATGTCTCCACACACCATGTCATACAGCAGTACACCGAGGGACCAGACCGTGGCCGGACGACCATGGTAACGATGGAACCGGATCCATTCTGGAGGACTGTACACCCGCGTACCTGGAGGGAGGAGACATGAATCTTGACTGGGGCTCAGAGATGTGACTGCAGTACAGTTAGAGTGAGAGAGCAGAGTGGTGATGATGGGTAAACACCAGAAACAACAGGAAATTGTGATACATCATCATCACCACGTTACTGAGGGTGGCTGGTCACAAGGGCAGCAGCTGGTGTTTCTGGAAAATGCTTGCTGACCAAACAAAGACACATGATGGGTCATTTGTCCTACATTCAGTCAACAAACAAGCTTGTCCTGTCATAACAACAGAGAAACATTCCTTCTATCTTCCTTTGTCAGATGCAGTCTGTTTTGTTGTTGTCATGATGACTGCACCATTATTAAACACTAGCAATCAAACAATGCAGGCCTCAGATTACTGTTAAAGGATCTCACCATCAAAGTTGGTGTAGGTGGTGTCTTTGAGGAGGGCCCCGGAGCCAAAGTCAATGAGTCTGATCTGTCCTGTTCTCAGGTCCACCAGCAGGTTCTCATCCTTGATGTCTCGGTGGACAATGCCACAGGTGTAACAGTGACGCACTGCCTCCAGTACCTGCTGGAAGAAGCCGCGTGCCGCCACCTCGTCCAGCGCACCGCGCTCGGTGATGTAATCAAACAGGTCCTGGGCCAGCTCGGGACGCTCCATCACCATCAGCCATCCGTCCCCACACTCCCACCAATCCAACAGCTGCACTACGCCGCCAAATGTCCCACCCACCTTCTTCAACAGCACGATCTCTAGAGGAACCACTGTGCCACCCTGAGAGAGGAGCAAGAGAACATTTAACAGCAGATTTCAGAACACAGTGTAATGCAAAAGGATTTGTATTTTTTGCTAATTATTTTAAATACCGTTACCACCCAATGTGCATAGCCTATATGTATAATGTCATTCAGAAAGAAGGAGACTTATGGATCTCAATAAATGGTAAAATCACTTCTGGAACAAGTTTCCAGCTCTTTTTATGTACAGTCACTGTATGTACATGCACATTGAGAGCCGCTGTACCAGACTCAAATTCCTCATGTTCAACACACCTGGCCAATAAAGCTGATTCTGATAATGTTGACATTGATGATGATCAGGCTATTATATTTCAATTGAAGTATAAACAGATTAATTGCACGCATGCTTTGCCATTTGTGATCCAGCCTATTTGTCGCCAGAATTTCTGCTCTTTGGCGATGTCTGTGTTGCACTTCATGCACAGTTCAGCTTTCACTCGCCTGCTAGTACCAGTTCATTTCTGGGCTAAAAGCCCAAATAGCCTACTACTTAAAGAAGGGCCTGATGGTGCGTTTCAGCTATGAACTTCAAAGTGGGATTTCACTAGAAGAGAGAGGTGTGCATGTGAGACTTAAGTATTTGATCAGTTCAATCCAATCAGGTGATCTACCTGATTCAAGCAGCTGTCTGGGCCAATTTCAAATACGTCAAAAGAAAAAACATACTCAAAGTGTAAAACACGGTTCCAAGGATGACCCCCATCTTGGAGTCAGTGTGGATCGACACATTTGATAAATTGGAAGTCTCTACTTTGTGAGAGGAGTAAGTGACAGACCTGCAGATAAACACAGCAATGACAGCATCACACAGTTTGTTACTTCTGTCCACCATTTCTACAGTGTGAGCAGTCATTCATGCATGGCCCATTTATTTTGTAGCGCAGTCACACCCAATGCCACCTTTGAAAAAAGTCAGTCACACCTTAAGTACATCTGGTCGCAAGATGTGACTGATCACTCACAGTCTGGAGCCTTGAATCATTATCAGATTTATCAATAATGAAAATAATTATTAGTTGCTGCTATAAGAAAGCAACAAAATGAGTACCCCAAAAAAAAAAAAATTTTTTTTGGTGCTATACGTAAACATCCTCTACACAGTCATTTGTTTCACGTTTCAAATCAGCTGCTCTTAAAATATTAAGGTGTCCCACTAGGCTGTTTTTGTTCCTCTTCTAATCACCATTTAATATTTGCCACTATAATGTAATGCACATTTTTATACAGATGTGTGTGTCTGTGGTGCCACGGACATATCTATTAATCTGGCTAATGCACATTTAACGTAAAACTAAAATAGCCGCTGAAGTGGTAAAAAAAACCTGAAAAGTTATTTTAAAAATATCTGCAGGTGAATCTCACCAGTGAGCCCCACTCAGACACTCTGTCCCTGCACACCTGCTTCACTGCCACCTGCATGGAAACATATACAACATTAACATGCAGCCTTTATAGAATTATATACATCACATTAATATACAAGCTAAATTCTATTTCTATACAAAACACAGATCAAACAGAAGTCATAATAAAAGCTGTTGCTGTTAACAGTAACATAAGGCTCATTGTTTTCACCTTCTGTGAATGTTTTATTTATGAATAAGCAGGATATTTCCCACCACTTTTGGGTGATGCCGTGAAAATATTATTAAATGCGTAACCACTTCCTGACCCCAAATGTACAAAGCAAGATTGTTTTTCACAAGAGAAGAGCATCATTCATAAGCCACTGCTTTCTTTGTGAAAACAAAGACCACATGCCAGGCTGAAGTGCATGCTGTGCAGCCAACCCCAATAAAAAGGAAGGAAAAGGAAAAGATCAGGCCTTCCAAATAAAAGCACAAAGTCGAATGTCCTGTTGGGACAGCAGCTGTAATGAAAATGTTTTGGTTTAGTGGGCCCAAATCTAAACTCGTAGTTTCCATATTAGGACGACCCACAGTTAATTGATAAGTAGGCTGATGATAGACAGAAAATAAAGATAGCATCAAGACACTGGAAACAATGAGACAACAGGAACTGCATTAGTGGACCAAAGACAGAGGGTCCATTATATTTGGAATACATCAAATACAAACTAAACCAATTATTTCAAGAGGCAGCAATCTACTTGGTATAATGCGTGTACTAATCATAGCTCACAAAAATATCAGCTGACAGGGAATCTCCCAGATCTTCCACAGCAAACATCACAAGCTACACAAACAGATTGCCTACTTCCACATCAAACATCACAAGCTACACAAACAGATTTCTTCTAAGTACAGAAGTACTGTCAGTGTTTCTCAAACATGGTCCTGTTAGCAACACACTCAAAGTTAATTCAAGTACTAATAATCCCCAGCTTCAGATAACAATAATAATAAAAATTTGTAAATTTGAACACCTATAATTTGTGACACCTTAGCAATATCAATACCAGTGTTGCGCTGACATCTATTTCCCCATTGAGACGTGACTTCCCTAACCTACCCTAAACCATAACATTATCCATAACCACAATGACATTATAGGGACATTATACGTCTCGACGGGGTAATCCTTTGACACAAAACCGGTATTCTGAACTTAAAAATTGGTTCAGATACGATTTCCAAGGTCCAGAAAGAACTTTCAATCTCTACTCTCCAATGTTGTTGAAGTTTGTAGGGCGACTTTTATTTTGAAGGGTCACGCCGGAACACAGCTGCTTCCTGCGTGTATCTTAATGCTACTAGCCGTGGCCATGTGCTGAGATCAAAACCAAACAGCTCCCCACGCTTACCGGCAACCCGTCGGTCAGGCGGACACCCGAATACACGGTTCCGAATCCTCCGCTTCCGAGCACAGAGCCCAGTCGGTAAAGCTTCTCAAATGGCTGCTTTTCCTGTTTCCCTAGAAAGCAAAGAAAACACAAATCAGCATCATTTCAGGTTATTTGCATGTTGGAAAACACGACAGTGTCGCCACAAAATGTGTATCCCTACAACAAAAAAAAAAAAAAAAAAAACCCCCTCTCAGCGGATGTGTTCTGGTGTTGCCGCTTCATCTTAATGTTTCTCTTTATAATCGCTTATAAAAGGAAAAAGCCTGCATTGGTTTAAGAAAATATCTAAATCAGGTCATATCTATCCACTAATCAATTAATAGTATTAACATTTCTTCAGTTAGCCGGCCCTCTCTTTAATATAAAGCAACGATGCTTTCGGTTATATTTATTATTTTATTTTTCTTTTTACTAATGTGGGTTGTCCGATGATATATTTCTCACTTAATACATTCATTGATATATTAAACAAACCAATCGCTCAGTGCAGTTAATCTAAGAAAATGGCGGCTAGCTTTAAATTCTGTTGTCCTCGCCAGTTAACTTGTTAAAGTGCCGCTGATCCTGTAACCTTTACGCCATATTACATGGCCCGTCAGATTCTGCGACCAGGCTAGAAATGTGGCTTTTTGATGGGTTTATTTGGTTTCGGGTTTAAGTGAGGGCCACCGTGGTCAGGTCACAGAATATGGTGCAACACACTGTTACCTTGCTGCAGCTTCGCCGGCAGGTCAACGCTGGACGAGATATGTGAGAATGAGCCCAATTTAGAGAGCAGCATATTGTCCAAAAATCATAAGACGCCTCGGAAATATTCGCATAAAAAGTCCAAACAAACAGCAGAGTCTTCGGCCCTTCTCACTGGCGAAGAAAAACACGTTTAAAATCCATTGAGAGTTCGGGCACGTAAACAAAAATAAAATAGCAGCTGTAATATCAAGAGAAGCGCGCCACTCTGTCCCCTCGTGCCACCAGGGCCAATATTTACAAAGATCACGTAGATCATTCCGCCTGACCCCAGTGAACCCGAAACAACGCCACACAACCCGCCGTTTCATACCAACATTCACAAATGAGTAAATACCGGTGCACCGAGTCCTATAGGTTAATGGTAAATGTAAGTCGTTGACATGAAAAAGCAGTCTTAAATGACGAGAAAACACACAGACTAGTTTTACGTAGTAGGACAGGCGCAGGTATATTCAGAGAGGGTCACTGCGGCAGTGCTACGGCTCCTCAGAGAGGAAAGATGCAGCTCATTGTCTTATTAATTACCTACTAATAAAACAATGAAATTACTATTCAATCGTCTTTAATGGCCAGTATGTTTAAACATACATGTCTGAATCCGGTACAGAGGCTCTCAATGTGCTCTAAGGCAACAAGAATAGAAAATAATGAAAATAAAAATAAAAGTAGAGCAATAAAAATGAGATGGAAAAGGCGTGTTCATTCAAGACTGAAATATCTGCAATCAAAAATAGGAAAGGAATGAGAGAAAGAGAAAGGCACCATATAATAATAATCAGAGTAAAGTTGAAATAATTTAAAGGAAAGTGCAATAATTAATATAATATAAAGATGGCCTAGTTTCAATATTATGGACACGATAAAAAAAAATAAATTTTACAGCTTCTAATTTGTGTCTTCCTGATTATTCATTTATCTCTTCTTTGATGTAGCTAATTAGTACAAAGACATTTTTGAATATTTTTATATCAAAACCCCTCTGTTTTATCTACCAGTAAAACAAAAATATTTTTGATGATTCATCTTAAACTCTAGACAGAAATTTATTAAATCAGTTTAAAATTGGACCAGCATCACTTAGCATAATTTGTGTGAGTGATTATTCTACAGGCTTGCAGTTCAACCATCAGGCTGAAATCACATTAATGTCACACAGTGATTCTGTGTCTCCAGTTTGCAGTCCGACCTCAGGTTATGCAGAAGGGGATGTGTTACTCAATGTTTCTTCCAGCAGCAGCAGCAGCCCAACATTTCCACTATCCTTTCTGTCTGCTCACAAACTGTTGGAGCCGGTGGGATTGCTGTGACAGAGGAGGGAGCGGCCAGATCACATGAGCTGCTGAGTTATGTCTGCCCCAGTAAACCCAAATGTAGGTCAGCCCCTCCTCCCTCACTGCAGTGAATGTAAAGAGAAGGACTGACAGAAAACAGATGTAATGACACAAACAGAGAGCTGCTGTTGTTCTCTGGAGGCACACATCTGTAAAGTGATCTGAGCTTACATCCCAGCAGTCACATCACTGCTGTACTTTTTACTGTTTACATCAGAGATATCATGACACACTGCAGCTACACCTGCCTCAGCATCTGCCTTCAGCACTTCAGCTGTCACTCAGCAAACCACTTCCTCTGCTCTGATGGTCAGAGGAAGCTTCATCCCAAAAGCCTACTTCCTCTAGAGTGTTATCGCAGAAACCTTTAACAACTTTATTGCCTTAATTTATAGTAATCAGGTGTATTATTGAGACTGTCATTCCACAAAGAAAGAGCATCTTTGCTTCAGGAAATGCCCCAAAACCAGTAGTTTAGTCTTGTTTATAGTCTTGGATTTAATATTTAGTCCAGCATCAGATTTTCACCTCTTGACATCATCTTGACCATACTGGACACATGTTGTTTATGATCATAACTGTACATGTTTCATATTCCCCACAATGACTACGTTTTTCTGACCCAATGCTGCTCTGGAGTCTCGGCCCTGACAAGGCCCTGCTGGGCACTTTGTTGGTTTTGTCCTATAGTTTGTCTGTCATTTGTACGTTATATGGAACTGGAGTTTTATTTAGATAACTTAAAACAAAATTTTGTTGTGTCAGTGTTGCTGAAGACAACCACTAAAATTGCTGTTTATAGTCGATCATACAAAACCTGTCTCAAGACCTGCTAAACAATTTGACTCTACAGGTATGTCAGAAACTGAAATGATCCTTTGTGTTTGTGGCAGCAGATATATTCGCTGGTCCTGCTCACAACATGAATGTGACTCAGGTCACTTGTTCTCTTCTATGTTTAGCTGCTTCTATTTTGAAAGCTGTGAATGAACTGATCCTCCCTGAAGAGGGAAGTTGCTTCGTACTGGGTCGCTTCTCTCCAGCTCCTGCTCACTTGTGGAAATGCTTCAACTCTGGGTGTAGTTTTCTTGAGTGCCACTGTCAGAGAACAGTAATGTCAGTGGTCAGCAGTGAGGCAGAGGACTGCAGCAGCTGTGACTGTGCAGACAAAGGGACGTGTCTGCCATGTTGTGCTTCTGATCTCGTCTCAGCTAAGCTAAATGTGGTGGTAGGAGACATGTACTTCTCTGAGGAGAAGACATTACTCGTTCAGAGCTGCGACTATTTCCAAGCTCTGTATCGCTCTGGGATGAAGGAGTGTTGGCAGGAAGAAATCCACCTGAAGTCTTTGCATGCTCGAGGCTTCCTCATCACCCTGGCAGTTATACGAGGTGAGATGCCCGTCCTGGACGCAGATGACATTGTTCAAGCAATTGAATGTGCTGCTTTTCTGCAGGTGGCAGCGCTCACAAAGCATCTCATTGACCTCATTGACTCGGACAACTGTTTGCTGATGTATCACACTGCTGCAACCTTTGGCCTCATGGACCTTTACTATGCTGCTGCGCTGTTCATCCGAGATATGTACACTGACCTGGAGGCGGAGGTCAGGAAAACCTTACCATCAGAGCTGATCTCCTATGTGGAGTCTCTGACCCAGAGCACTTTTGTGGCTGTGGGGGCCCATGTAACCTGCGGTGTGGGTGAAACTGTACACGCTGCCTCTAGGACGGTCTGTTACCTGGATGAAATTGGTAATAATTGGAAAGTATTGACAGATCTTCCTCTAGAGGCCAGCACCTCCATGGCCGGAGTGACTGTTTTAGACAACAAACTCTACATTGTCGGAGGAGTTCACGGAGTTCACAAACAAGTTGTGGACTCTTGTTTCTGCTACAGTGTTGAAAACAACATCTGGAGTAGGATCATCAGTCCAGCACAGCTCCGCTACAATCTCAGCCTGGTGGGTGGAGACAGTCGTCTTTATGCTATTGGAGGAGAGTATGAGCGAACAGTGATGTCATCTGTGGAAACATATGATGTAAAAACTGGGAGATGGACGTTTGCTGCTCACCTGCCTCGACCAGCAGCGGGAGCAGCATGCACCAAAGCCATGAGCAGGATATTTGTGTGTTTATGGAGGCCGATGGAGACCACAGAGATCTATGAGTACATCTCAGGGAAAGACAAGTGGCAGCTCATTACTACACTAATCAGGCACCAGAGTTACGGCCACTGCATAGTCGGCCACAGAGACAACCTCTACGTCATAAGAAACGGGCCATCAGACGACTTCCTGAGATGCCTCATGGACTGTTACAATCTGAGCTCAGACCAGTGGTCGTCCCTGCCCGGACACTTTGCCAACAGCAAAGGATCACTGTTCACAGCTGTGGTGAGAGGTGACTCTGTGTTCACTCTCAACAGGACCATGGCTCTGGAGTACACCATCAATGGTAAAATCTGGAAGCCACGCCAGCAGATGAAGGGTTTCCCCAGAAGTGGATCTGTGTGGACGTTTCTGCTCCGGGTGCCAGACGCTCTCATGCTGCAGTAATGGATTCATGCGCTCTGTGATTCATTGGATTGTTAATGTCTTTGTACATGTGGATTGGTGTTCTCTACACACATACCTCAACAAGTTCAAACTATAATTCCTGTGAATTACAACTCTGTGTCTTGGTAGTTTTGTCTATCATTGTTATTGATCTACTCCAACTTCCTCCCACAGTCCAAAGACATGCAGCTTGGGTTGATTTATCTTGTACAAAATATAATGATCTAATATCTTAGTTGCATGAATTATAGTTTATTCCAAAGATAGGGGTCTTTTGCATGCATGATTATAACCACAATTGTACTCATTGGCATTTTTTTATTGTGATGTTATGCTATATACTGTATATGTTTGTTCTCAGGACTCTTTTATATCTAAACTAGACACCCTGAGCAAATACAAGACTAGGGAGAATGTTTTTGGATGCTGGTAGTTCATTTGTTTACATCAGCAAGGCTTAATAAAAACAGATAAAAAAAAATTGCAGATTTTTCATCTGAATCTTCAAATGAAGATAGGATTTAGATAATAAAAATGCACAACTTTTAAGAGTTAAAAATTAAATTTAGGAGCTTGTCAGTACAACTGCTAAAACACCAGGTTGGTTTTATTAATGTCAGTATAAATTAATCAGTGTCTCGGTGCTGCTTTACTCAATGTGTACTCCAGTGTTTATCGTCACATAGAGCTTCTGTTTCCTGTTGGCACCGAGCGACGATGATGATGATGGAGGTTAACAGCAGGCAGAGCCAGGCACCACGGGTGGCTGGGCGGGACGCCAGCAGCACGAAGGGATGCTCAATCTGACCCAGCATAAAGAGAGAAGCCAGGGTCAGACTGGGACACAGCGTCAGGTCACTGCCCTCTGTGACCTCAAGTGTGGGAGTGAAGCCAGGGACCAGCGCTCTGACTCAGTGATGGATGACCGTCTATATGTGGACCTTAAACTGGTTATCAGTGTTGGACCACAATGAGAGTCTGCTGTCTGCTTTGCTGCTCTGCACCGTCTCACTTTATTTTTTAACAAACATACACTACCCAAAACAACATGGCTACTGTTCCTTTTTGTATTTGCTCCACATATTTTCCCAGGTGGTAGAAAACCAGTACTGTGATTATTTACATTGTGATACAGCCTGTAACATCCTTGTTAGTGTCACTGGGTTGTTCTTCATTTTGGGCTCTATATTGTTATTTCTGTTGTGAATGTGGTCTGATATCACTGTTACATGTAACAGTTAATATGGTGGTCCTGGCCCTCTAACCTCTCAGGCCCCTGGGCTTGTGCCTGGTTGGACTCTTGAGTAATCCATCCATGCTAAAGTTGGGTCAGACTAAAGCTCTGATGGCTCCAGAAGTTAAATATGCCTCTGTCTCCCTAGAGTCTATGTGACTGGCTAAAATAGAGAAATCCTGTCTGCGGCTGCAGGCCGTGCACAATACAGAGAGTGTGGATAAACAGCGTATATGAGTGAGCAGTTAATCCTATGCATGACTATGAACTTTAACCCATGAACAGTCTCCTTAAACACTACTTTGTTGCTGCTGTGAGCAGTGCTGAGTGTGATGGATGGTCTCTCTGCAAGACGGTTTCAAATTAAGTGGTTTGGATGGAGGGAAACTAACTTAAAAACTGATAGAGTATTCGGAAAATGATGAACTGGAATGAAATCACTTAGACTATGTGTATAATTTTCTTTCAAATAGCTTTTCTAATAAAATCCTACAGGTATGGCTTTTCTTTAAAGTTTAGATTTACTGAAGGATATCTTATTTAAATTTCACTCTTGTGTCCCTCACCAGATGGCCTCAGTCCTGATGCTGACACTAGTCCCTCCTTTGTGTGTCTTTGTCATGAATGAGACCCCCCCAGTTGCCCTCTCCCCAGTCTAAATGGGCAGACAATGATGTGTGACCCCCGTGAATATTAAATGTATGAATATATTTGATAGTAGCTGAGTGTTTCCATCTGCCTCCCTTTAACCAGTCTGTTGTCAGTGAGCTGGTATCATGTTGTAACATATTCACATTTGCTGCATTTCCACTATGGGAACCTAATGAGCGGTATGCCCCGTACTTCCCTATCTGTCACCAAGCATGGCCTCCGGGGTTGACGCGAGCCGTCCTGCTTTGTTTTTTCTACTGTATTTTCTCTCTATCAGTCTCTGTTAAGAGGAGGGAGGGGCCGCTTCCCCATCACACACAGTCAGATGTGTGTTTACACATGGTGCTTGTAATGCTGATGCTTGAGGTGTGAAGACGTGGACACTTAACCAATCAATGGTGACTGCTCTGTGCGCATGCACCACCTATCCCCTCGCAGTCCTGGGACTCGATATTAGTACCGGTGCTACCTCCTGAGGGGTGGTGAAATTCAGGCCTCAGAATGTACCTCCAAAGCAGGCCAAGTGTAGTGAAAACAAACGCAGAATCTGTGATGAGTGTTACTAAGCGTGACACATTTTGTTATGGTCCTATAATGGAAAAACCTCTACTATAGGGATTCAACACCTTTATGGGGACAAAAAAACAGAAATTCCCAGAACATTGCGCATTAAATTTTATAGTGAAGAATTTGTTTGAGGTTAGCTTTAGGTTAATGTTAGGGTACGGGTTAGTTGACATGGTTAATTTTAGGGTAAGTCTCCAGGAAATGAATGTGAGTTATTGTAAAGTCCCCTAAAGTGACTGAAACAGGGGTGAACAGCTGAGGAGGTGTGGCTCAGCACCTTTCTCACTGAACTGAACTTTAACCTCTTAACTCGGGGAATATGCTTTTTTTAACGTATTGAGTTATTAGCATTATAAGCCTCGTAGCATCCAGGCGACTGCTGGGAGGATCAGGTCATTCATCATCACTACATGTCTAAAAATAAACTGCTGAAATAAATAAGAATGATTTGAGGAACACATTTATTGCTGTTATCATACAGCATCTGGTTGGAAGAGATGAAGGTAAAACATAGTTTGTGTTTCTTCTGTCTCTAAGCTAGTCTAGATACAGGTTAGCAAGTGTCTAAGTAGTGTAGGCTACATATTGTAAAATTGGCAGGGTTAAGGAGCCAGACACCAAAACTGCCTCTTCTGTGCTCAAGGAAGCCACTCTTTCATTACACACACAGCCGGGGAACACACAGCAACAACAGAACACACTGAACACCCATTCAACGAGTGCCACCAAGTCCAAACTATATACAGCCTGCACAGAGGGGCATTCTGGGACTTTCTCCCCTCAGGCATGGAGGGGGATCTGTCTAGCATTTCTTTCCCCTCCTGTGTATTTTGACAACAGACATTTGAATATATCACTTAAATAGCTTGTATAGCCCTTCAACTGCCATAAAACATTCTCACTCATGAAAACAGGAAGTTTTAACAGTTTAGTACTGTTATTGAGAGAACTGGGATTGGTGGAATTCGAAATAAATTTTCATTCGTTCATTACGCTGGTTTACACTCCAGCATAGTTGGTGGTAATGCACCTTAGTGTTGGATGACGACCGCTTTTAAATAAAACGAAGAAGAAATGGAGGTGTAAGAAGAAGGAGGAGGCGAAGAAGATGATGAAGATGCGACTCACCAGCCGCCATATTGCATCGGGCGTGTTATGGTTAAGTCAAATAGTAGAAAATGCCCGACGTTTGTTCCGCTTTTGGATGTTCCAATAGAAGAAATGCCAGAACCAAGGAGCAGGGAATAACATTTCATACGTAGGAACATGTCTTATAGTACCTCACTTTTACGAATGTGTTGAATTTAGCTCGTAAGCTAGCCCTGCTCTTAAGCTAACAAAGTGACCGTCGATATATTTAGTATTTTATGTTCCCATAAGACTAATGAATTAGTAAGATGTTAAAATGATATGTATCAATCATTTGTGTTACTGTGATAAGTAGCAGTAAATCGTCCTCCTTAAAGTGTTTGTTTTAAACTATTTAATGACGCTACTGTAACTAAAACGTCAGCAACACGCACGTATAGATGTGCGTTGTGTTTCTGATGGGCTTGTTTTGTGTGTAGATTCCCAAAAGATAAAGTGAGAAGGAAGGCGTGGACATTGGCACTGCGGAGAAAGGATTTTGTGCCAAGTAACCACTCCGTTGTTTGCAGCTGCCATTTCAAGCCAGAAGACTTTGATACGACTGGACAGACAACGCGTTTAAGGGAAGGAGTTGTACCCTCGATTTTCGCATTTCCACGTCGTTTTGGAAAAGTTAGTGCCATTTTCAAATTGTTTATTATATACATTCTCAATCTGAAACTAATGTGTAATGCTCCATAAACCAAACACTAAAAATAATCAGTTTTGTGCATATGACTTGGATAACTTGTTACTCTGTCTCCAGGCACCCAGTAAACCCAGGCTAAGTAGGACATCACAAAAAGCTGCTGCAGAATGTCCAGATGTTCATGTTCAGCCATCACAGAACTTGAAGGAGCCAGTCTCAGTGAGTTCTGCAGTTGCTGGGTTAAAAATCTTTGCAGAATGCACTTCCCAGCCAGATTAAAAGTGGCGCATGCACACTTCTGCCTTAACATCTGTGTTTATGAAGCTCAGAATGTTTCATTTTAGGGGGAAACTGTCATAAATGTATGGATTCAATTATATTGTATATTTCAATTATATTAATTATATTTTGAGCTTCATAAACACAGATGTTAAGGCGGAAATGTTGTATTGAAGTTCATACAATTGTACAGGCGGGACTCCTAATTTGGCCGACCAATGTGTTTACTCATACAAAATATGGAAAATATTTTTAAGTTATGATAAAAAAATGTTTTTCAATATTATCAATATGCTCCTAACAAAATGAAAATGTTTTATGCATACTGACATAAATACATTTTTACTCTTTATTTTATCTCCAGGTGCCCAGCACACCCAGTTCAAGTAGGACCCCACAAAATGCTCCTGCAGTATGTCCAGATGTTCGTGTGCAGCTGTCACAGAACCCCAAGGAGTCCACCTCAGTGAGTGATGCAGTTGCTCTTTTAAACAGAATGCAGGGTTTACAATTGCAAGAAAAAGCCACGGCACTGTTTGCAATTTCTTGTTTTTCTGCTTAAATTGGTCACGAACTGTGATCTGATCTTCACCAGAGTCACAAACACAATATTTTTAAGATGATAAAACACAAACAGTCATGATCTTTCATGTCTCTATTGAACACACCCATTAAACATACACAGTGATGGTGGACAAAGTAATGGCAACAGTGTTTTAATAACTGGCTGAACCACCTTTGGCAACAGTAACCTCCTGTAGCTGTGGATCAGACCTGCACAACATCCAGGAGGAATTCTGAGCCATTCTTCTTCACAGGGTTGCTTCAGCTCAGCCATAATCGTAGGACGTCTGGTTTGAACGTCTTGAGGTCATTCCACAGCATCTCTATTGGGCTGAGGTCTGGGCTCTGGCTGGGCCACTCCAAAAGGAGGATTTTATGTCTCTGAAGCCATTCTGTAGTAGTTTTACTCGAATGTTTAGGGCAATTGTTCTACTGCATCATCCAGCCTGTTCTGAGCTTCAGCTTGCTAGCAGCCACCCTGACATCTTCCTCTAGGATAAACTTGGGAATTCATTTTCCCTCCACAATGACAAGTGGTCCAGGTGCAGAGGCAGCAAAGCAAGCTCCTCCACCGTACTTCAATGGTTTCATGTTGGTAAACAGTTCTCTTTATACACCATACATAGTGCTGTGTGGTGTTCTTCCAGTGCCATTATTTTTTTTTCTTGCGACTGTATTATATTTACATATAAAATAATTTAAACTTATTATAAACATGTATGCATTTCAGGACCATCAGTATGCCCTTGACCCAGTTAAAATAAAGAAGACATTAATTGAGGCTCAGGCAATGGTGGAGAAATTGCACCGGGACTTAAGAAATGCCAAGGATCGAGAAAGAAGGCACAAGAGGACTGTGCAGTCCCTGCTGGAGGATTTAAAACAGAGGAACATGGTTACAGAAGAACTGCAGCAGAAGCTTGACTTCTATTCTGGCTTACTGGATTACCCAGACCCTCCTTTATGAGATTAAGCATGTCTAACATGCACTGAATAATTTGGTGGTTCAAATTAAAGTCTCGTCACTTAGTGTTATATTGTAGTCTGACCTGTGTTCTGAAATGTCTACTGAAAAGCAAGTTAATAAAGCTTGATGACATTTTTAAAACTATCTTTTAAAACTCTACTCAATACTTTCCAATGTTACAGCATTTCATTTCCATTTGAGAATGTTAATGCTGTAACGTTGGATCTCAGCCACCTGTGAAGCAGCTTTGTGTGTCTAACAAGAATGCTGTGGTTCATATTGCAGGTTGTGTTGCAGGTGATGACGCAGTGTTTGTGTGATATATGTATGTGGTAACTGTGAGCTTGTGCCAGCATCTTTAGCTACCACCTGCTAACCTTGAAAAACAATGGAGGCCTAATAATTTCAAGCATACGTACAAGTGAGTCATCCAACAGCCCACAAACATTGCAGTAGCACATCGGTGCTGCTCCCTGGTCAACTGTGTTGTCCGATCTCGTGTTCAGAGGATGATTGATGTCTGTGTAACACTTGGTAGAAACTCAGCATGGTGTTGATAATCAGTTTATTCTGTAGCTTGAGCAGCTCTCATAAGATGAGATAAAACCATGTACTCTTTAAGAAGGCAGCTGTGTAGTGTTGTTAAAGCAGGGTTAAAAAAAAGAACATCTCCGTCATGGCTGTGAGTGAAAATGTGACTGTCTCTGTGCAGCCATGAGCATGTGCCTTTTTGACAAGGAACCAACCAAGAACGTACCTGAGGAAACACTTTACTATAGGCTGAATTTGTATTATTCATCTTGTAAAAATGCAGCTCTACATAATTATCTTGATGCTTTATTTATTTATAATTTTACAATTGACCACGTATCCTTATGATAAATACATGTCTGGGATTTGTAATAAAATAAATCGGAGTAAAATTGAGTAATGATATTAACTGCGGCCAGGTTATGCCTTCTACCACCATGCACATGATTTAAATGGTTGTCGGCCCAAAATGGCGCCCGCGTTGACGCATTGCCGCAAAGAACAGCAGCGGGTCATAAAAAATCACAGATATTTGTATATCGATGGAGAGCGTCGATATGAAACCGAAACTTCAGCATTGCCTTCCAGACGCAATGCAGTGTTCGTTACATATTGGAGTTCGGAAGTGTCCGGTCCCGTACTTGGGGGAAAAATATGATAGAACGGCGACGCTCGAAGACTGGACTCGGGCCAAGCTCATGTACCCTGACTTCAGAGAAGCAGTTCTGACGTCTATCATAATGGCAGCATCCACAGAAACTGGTTTTGAATGGTCTTCAGTGGGGGAAAAAAAAAAAATCACATTTGGAATTACTGTTACGTGCCTAAGAACAAAATTGAAGCAAAAGTGGAGTAGCAAAAGGCTGTTTGATGTTATATTTTGTTAAAGCATCCAGTTCTGGAGCTTTGATATTTTTAATGCTTTATTATATGATTCTTTAAAAAATGTGTCAAACAATTCATATAATATCGGGTGCGATTTGGTACACTTGCACCACACAGCCATGGTAATCTGACGAGTAGCTCGGGGCACACATGCTGATTGTTGACATTTAGCGCTATCTATTGGTCGTGATTCGTGTACGAATTGAGCCCCTTTTCAGAGTTTTCTGATCTCCGATGTAAAGCGAACGCAACATTCCTAAACGCTCCAACAGCAAATCTCTGTAAACTGAGTCGACGGCGCCATCTTGTGGTCGGTAGTTTCTGCCGTAGTTTGAAGTTTGACGTGTTGAGGTTGAAAGACAGACGTATTTGCCGTGGTAATGTTTGATCAGAGACGATGTCCACGTTGTTTCTGCACTTTGTCCCAAATATAACCCCGGGAGACGCCGAACAAAATTAGCCCACAGACGACAAAGCCGAAGACAGCAGCCCCAGCTAAAGTCCAAGTTACTCTGCTCATAGAGAAACAGTAAGTACTTAATACACTTAACGTTAGTTTAGATTAATTAATAGTCATGCATGTATAGGAAGTTTGGGGCGACAGCGGCACGGTGGATAGAGCAACAGCCTCCTAACCGCAAGATTGAGGGTTCGAACCTGGGTGCCGTTCGCACGCAGCGGCCCGGGACCCTCGCTTCGTTGTACGTGTTAAAAATAAAGCTTCTTCTGCTCAGGTAATTAACTTAGTTCAATAAGGTGACAAAACGACGCTGAAGTTGAAATCCGACACAACAGGTAAAGATTCAGGTTGCATTAAACTTGGGGTAAAGTGTAAATCGGTATGTTTTCCGGGTTCTTTCATTTGCTTGTGTTTTGAAAAGGTGTTAAGTTTCCGTTTTGTTTAACCATTCTTCTATTTGTGAAAAGGCTTTATTTGTCTTTGGCTCCTTGATCAGCTCAGCTCAGGATGGACAGGGAACGGTGCTGTGTGAGGCTGTCGGTCCAGCCGTCCAGAGGACTCGTGGATGAGAAGTTCGTTGTCCTGGTCGAGGGCGCCCTCCCTGGAGTCCAGCTGACCGTCCGCGCTGCCCATCAGAGTGAAGATGGACACAGCTGGGAGGCGTTTGCCCACTACAATGCCAACGCCACCGGAGCTGTGAACGGTACATTGCTCAGTACTTAGACCTGAAAAATTAGTTTAGGAATGACGGCAGGTATTGAAAAGTTTGAAGTGCAGATTTTTTTCAATAAAATCTTGCATGGAAAGAATGAACGTCAGCATGGCAAATAATTGTTCTTATTTTTTACATTACAGTTGCAAAGGACCCCAGTCTGGGTGGGACATATTCTGGGGTTGAACCCATGGGCCTGCTGTGGAGCCTCAGACCGGTTCCAGGCAGTATACCTGGACTCAGGTACGTCAACCAGACCAGAACTGTTCAGATGATACCAATTCAGTCTTAATTGGTATCATCTTCCACCATCCCTCAGGATGAGGAAGATGAACATCCAGACTCCCATGGTGGTCACTATCTCAGTGTACCAGGGTCAGCTGACTGAGGGTTTCGTGGATGAGGTGCCGCTGGCCAGTGTGGTGGTGGAGCGCTGGTACATGGCTCCAGGTGTCCGCAGGATCCCGATCACCGAGGGCGGACTCACTGCAACTCTTTTTCTGCCCCCAGGTAGGACCAGAGGCGAGTCTGGAGAGAGGTGTTCTGTGAGCGTAGATCAGACCAGCACCGGAATCTTGAACTAGATGTAATGTGCAGCTTGAAGCTGATGAATAGAGAAGAGTACATACCGGAAAACTATTAGAGGTTGAACACCAAGCTGGAAGTAGTTTTAGGTCAGACAGGGGATGACAAGCACCTGGGCTGCCTCCCTAGCAGGAACATGCACCTTCTGTTGTACAGGAGGGCGCTACTGCTGTGTTACTGTAAGAGCATGACATTTTGTCATGCAAATTTTACATTATCAGTTTTGACACCACCAGAGTGTTTTTAGTGATGGACAGGCCTCGATGTAGGCTTCATTTTCCCTAAAAGAGCTTGAGCTCAGTCTTGTTCTGGTTGAGTTTGTGTTCACGCATATGGTGGCAAAAGGATGGGCCAGCAGCATCTGTCACTCATTGTGAATGAGACCTGGCTGTGCAGCCCTGTGTGCCCCATGGAGCTCAACAGGTTCAAAAAATGCCCAGTTACACTACAGGGGAAAGGAGGAGGAACACTCAGCTGTATGCTTTATGCTTGAGCTGTTAGCCAAAGTTCATGTAGTTAACCTGTAGTTAATCCAGAGTAGCAGAAACATAAAAAAAACACACAATCGTCATCATGTGAACTGATTGTTTGTGGTGTTTTGACTTGTGTGAAGGACCTGGACCTTTCCCCGGTCTCCTGGACCTGTGGGGGGGTGGCGGGCAGTTAGTGGAGTACCGTGCAGTGCTGCTGGCCTCTCATGGCATCGCCTCTCTGGCTCTCGACTACCTGACGAATAAAATGGTAGTGGAAACAGGCAAGATGGTGGACAACCAGTACTTTGAGGTAAATCTGATGAGTCTCAAAATATCTCAAGCATTTTGTAAAACCCTTAATATACTGGTCACTAGGGAGCAGCAGGACTCCATGACAGGCTGATAAGGTTTTCACCTTTTAAAGTATTTGTGGTTAACATGATCTTAACTTGTGTTTATTTGTGCTCAGTTGAGGTGGTTGAAGCTACAACACAAGTTGCACCAGTGTCTGATCCATAATGTACATATGCAGATCTAAGAACAGAATGTAAAGAGATGGACAACAGTCAACTTAATGAGGTCCTTAGAATCAGTCCGAGAGTTGACAACAGTGTTTGTACTGATTTGTGCCTGAAACAAAGAGATTCATGCTGTAAAAACATATGTGCATGGGTTATTATTTTTCAAAACCATTTTCACCCACTGATATATGTTGTACATGATCAAAATGGCTCAAATTCAAACAAACCAGCCAGTTAAAACTGGTTGGTTTGTTTGAATTTCTCACGACAGTCTTTGCTGATGTGTACTCTGCCATGTTGTCCTGCTACAGACAGCCTATAGTGTCCTGCGGGAGCATCCTCAGATCCTCGGCAGCAGGATCGCCATGCTGGGCCTTTCCTTCGGCGCCAGTGTCACTTTCAAACTGGCTGTTTACTCCCAAGTGGTAAAGGTAAGTCAAGTATAACTGAAACTTATTTTCATCATTGTAACGTTGCCACAAAAATAGGCATTTTGGTTTATTACTTGCTGTCTTCCTGAGAATTGGATGTGGAGCTAAATATGAAGATATGAGCTCTGAGGAAACAGCTGGTTAAAGCTGCTTTGCATGAAGACTAGAAACCCTGGGAAAGAGCTAGCCTGCTAACATGTCTTTCTCAAGGTAGCACTGTCACCTCACAGCAAGAAGGTTCCGGGTTTGAGCTTCAGCTGACCCGGGGCCTTTCTCTGTGGAGTCAGCATGTTCTCCCTGTGCCTATGTGGATTCTCTTTGGGTACTCTGGTTTCCTCCCACAGTCCAAAGACATGCAGCTTAGGTTGACCGGAGACTCTAAATTGCTTAGGAGCCGTAGGAGTGGTTGTCTGTGTCAGCTCTGTGATAGACTATTGACCTGTCCTGGGTGGACCCCGCCTCTCACCCAGTGTCAGCTGGTATTGGCTCCAACCTATATGGATGGATGGATGAACTGCATTTCAGCATGTTTACCATAGTATTTCTGCTTAGAGTTATCGCTGCCTGTGAAGCTTTAAGAAGATGAGCTTGAGATAATTGATAGTGGGCCCCATAAAGTTTTTAGGTCAGTCCTTCCTAATCATGTTGTGGTAGTTTTTCTGTTCTATTTCACTTATTGAAACTAATCTGTCCACTGTCCATGCAGATTCTAGTCACCCAGGACACAGTAAGCTGAAAAAAAAATGTAGAAAAAAATCAACTGGACTAGATTTCTAGGTCGAAAGACGTTTCACCTCTCATCCAAGAGGCTTCATCAGTTCTGCCCGACTGGTGTTGAACCAGAGATATTTATTCCCCTCTGTGGTGTTTCAGTCCTTTGAAGGCCAACAATGTCCCCTACCAACTGAGTCGTTGCAGCCCAGTATCGGTGAGAGTCGTTACCTGTCTTTGAAACCTCCCTTGTGGACCGACACCTATTGTCCTGGTGGACATGTTTGGGCAGAGATCTCAAAACAGGATTGTAGATCGATGGCAAGTTGTGTCTTAGTCCACCACCCCTCGTTTGTGAAGTGGCTGCTTAGTTTCATCAATGTACAAGTCGTTACACTCCTGACTACACTTAACTGCATACACCACATCACTCTGTTTATGTCTGGGTGTTTTGTCTTTTGGGTGGACCAGTCTCTGCCGCAGGGTGTTCCCTGGTTTAAAGTTAACTGGAATATTGTGGTTGTGAAAGATCCCTGTTAGCTTCTCTGCCACATAAGGGATGACAGTGTTTTCCCCACTTGTTTCTGGTTGAAGTGGATGTTGTGAGTCATGTTGTACCCGGTACTTTTTACCATACTGACTCTGAGAGACGAGGCAGTCCAAGTAACTTCAAAACAGTGCTGATTTATTCCATGAACACAGGTAAAAATTAACATTACACACTCGGGTATCTTGCACCTCCAACCTGCTCGCAGGCATACCATACTGACTCTGAGAGACGAGGCAGTCCAAGTAACTACAAAACAGTGCTGAATTATTCCATGAACACAGGTAAAAATTAACATTACACGCTCAGGCATCTTGCACCTCCAAGCTGCACATAGGGAGATGAAAGATGAAAAATCAATGTGTGTGTGTGTGTGTGTGTGTGTGTGTGTGTTGATTAAGTGGTGTGTATCTAAAAACATTCTGACAGGACATTCAGTAACATGTCCTGACATTAGGCATAAGAAGATATTATGATTATGATTAAACACATCATACAGTAATCAACTCTCTATCTAGTTATCCTTGACCATAAACAACCTGGAGTAACTCATGAAAATGACTAAGCATTTAACAGCCTGAGCTAGACATCCTGTCTACACTAAACATTTCTAATACAACAAGTACCTAACCAATATCTATCTGACTAAAAATACCTAACAGTCAAAAAGCAGGTATTGGTCCGTGTGTGTAGGTTTCTGATATACTTCTACCTTCAGGCTTCTGCCCCCTCCCAAGTGGACTGCACAATCCAAAAAGGCCAGACAGTCATCTCTGGCATCCTCATGAAAGAACTTAATGTTGATATCCACAGAGTTGTGGATATCCCTTATGTGGCTGGTCATTGTTGGCCTTCAAAGGACTGAAACACCACTGATGGGGATAAATATCTCTGGCTCAACGCCAGTCGGGCAGAACTGATGAGGCCTCTTGGATGAGAGGTGAAATGTCGTTGACCTAAAACCAAGTCCAGTTGATTTTTTTTTTCAAAATTTATTTTCTACATTTTTTTCAGCTTACCTGTCAACTGAAATCATCTCATCTCATTTCTTAGATGAGCCTGTATAAACATAATAATAATAATAAAACTTTATTTATATAGCACTTTACAACTCCAGCAGAGCCCAGAGTGCTTCATAGCAGAACATGTATAACTGCTAAAAAACACTACTAAAACAATACAACTTAAACAAAATAAAACACAGAATTTCAAGGCAGAAGCAGTAAAAAAAACTTCCATATCAGAATACAACTGGAATAAAACAACAAGTTAAAAATGTCTCTTTAGAAGGAGGTAAGACGGGTTAAGCACCAAAAGCCTGTCTAAAAAGCTGGGTTTTTAGAGTTGACTAAAAGCCACCAGCTCGGTTATGGACCATAGCTCTAGCGGTAGAGAATTCCAGAGTCTGGGGCCATACACAGCAAAAGAACCATCACCCCCCATTTTTTGTATGAAGACCGTGGGACAACCAAGGACTGATGTTTTGAGGAGCACAGAGCTCTGCGCGGAGCATAAATAGACAGAAGATCAGACCGGTAGGATGAGACTGCAACTTGGTATGGACAAGTCTTTCCATAACCTTAGATAAAAAAAGGCAACCTCTGTATATTCAAAGTGTGTGTGTGTGCGTGTGTGTGTGTGTGTTTGTCTGTCTCCCAGCTCAGGTGTGCCGTGTGTATTGGTGGGAGTCATGTGCAGCTGGTTGAAGGATCGGTGGAACAAATGCTGAGTGTTTTTAATGAGTAAGTTGGTCCACTGTCAGTTATGACTTCTTTTCAACAGCTCAACCAGAACTGGTAAAACTTTCAAAATGTGTTGAGATTGAATCTGGAATGAAAAACAGATTCATACCAAGTAAATGGAAAGAAAAATAAGGAGACAAACTAATATGAATCTGAGGCTTGGGTTTGGCCAAGTCATCATCTGTCAGAGATTTGGAAGAGGTCATTCTTTTCTTTCTTTTGCCCGAGCAGACATGCCAATAAGACTCGGATAAACGAGAAGAACGAGGTGATCTGGCGAGATCTGGTGCTGCCCATCCCCACTGACCCCAAACTCAAAGTGGACGTGAGTACCACCAGCGACCTGGTCCAGTTTTTAGTTCTGTAACTGCTTTTGGGCTCAAACACAAGTGTCTGTTCTGTTTTTTAATGTTATCTTTGCCTTTAGTTGGACAGTTGCCAGTGAGAATTCAATTTATAAAGTTGCAGCCTCTTGGTGTACATCATAACCACTCAACGACCGGCACACTGGTTGTGTAGCAGATGTTTTTAGCTACACAACTCATGAACATTTATTTGTGCAACATTAAAGTGATCGAGACACTTCATGGAGTGTAACTTCCCTTGAACTAGTACATTTTTCTTAAATGCCGCCGCTTCACTGCCACAGGAACCGCCCCGTTCTCAGGCCAGATGGCCAGCTATTGCCTCAGCCTGCCTGGCAGAACACACGTCTGTGTTCCATTGCACAGTGTGAGTGTTGCCCTTACAGAATATGTCATCGTCATGTCTTCTACACGATGTCATCACTAGGTGCCCAACACAGCAAACATGGAGTCTGCAAATACAGCAGTTTGTACTGGCTTCTTTTTTTGTTTCTTTGTGACGTGCTGTTGTCTCCTTCTCTTCCTTTTTTTTTTTTTTTTTAAAGACTGTGGGTCTCCTCCTTTGCCTGAGGAACTTCCTCAGAATGTAGTGACATGACATAGACATTGGGTTGGGGGTGGAGTAGCGTGCTCTTGGTCCTGCTTCTGTGCAGGATGATATATCACGCTTTTCAGCATGGCCACAGCCCACTTGTAAGACATTCAAATCAGGCAAATGGTACAATATGACTACAGGACGGTTCTTGGAGGCAGTGGAAAGACAGCTTTAATTGTCTTTAATTCCAAGCTGCAGCCAGTGATGAGCTGTGAACAGCTGCTGTTTGTCTCTGAGCAGGTTGGAAGAATCCGGTGTCCTCTGCTGCTGGTTGTAGGTGAGGACGATCAGAGCTGGCCTGCCCACGAGTCTGCAATGGATGTGAGTGTACTGACATGATGACATCCTGTGTGAATGAACCATCTTAGTCCAGAGGTTTGGAGTCTGGTTAGAAACTGGGTGAACAGTTTCAGGGATATAAGGAATCCTAACATGGCCAATGCTGAGTGAACACACAAGACAACAAGTGTGTGTGTGTGCCCTGTACTTATACAAACATTGGTTTTACATATTGGATGCTTGCACTGCATCACTGCAGGACAGTGCTGTGGTGTGTGTTGTTGAGTACTCTTTACTGTGGGTGACATGCGCAGGCTGTCCGCTTGTCTTTATAGTTTTACTCTCTCTTGTTGGGCACGTGTCAGTTCTGCGCATCAGAAAAGTATCTGACAAATTCGAGAATATGCTTTGAACCTCCTGTTTTCCAGATGAAGGAGATGATGGAGCGGGCGGGGAACAGCAACCTGCTGACCATTCTGTCGTACCCGAACGCTGGTCACCTGATCGAACCTCCGTACACGCCGCACACCCGAGCCAGCAGGTTCAGAGAATTCAGAGGAAATCAGACTTGTAGGTTCACTTTCAGATTGGAAGGTGGTTGGTGATTCGAGGGTTAGGTGCCAAAGTCAGGACCTGAGTTTCTGTTGCCTCGTGTCTTTGCAGTTATGGCTCTGTGGGGCGGAGAGATGGTGGCACATTCTCGTGCTCAGGAAGACGCCTGGAGGAAGATACTGGTCTTTCTGAGGGAGAATCTGTACGGCGGATCAAACCCTGGTCCAGCCTCACTTTCAAACCTGTAATCGAGGTGACCAAGGCTAATAAATACAGTCACTGGGTGAGAGGAGTTATTTCCAGGTGCTGCTGGTTTTGGATGTAAAGATCCCATAAAATTTTCCTAGAGTTGATGTTACGTGTCTCACAGTTGAAGTACTTCTGTGGCTTGGATGGGCATTAAACTTTTCTTATTGCATCATCAGTACAAAAGATAAATCAATCTTATATTTATAAGATGCAATAAAGATGGCACATTTTATTAATGGAGCACTTATCAAATTGCTTTCTAAGGAAAAAAAAAGCAAAAAAAAAGAAGGATACTAAAAGAAATAATATTATGAAAGTTCATCAATTAACTTCATGCAAAGTGCAGGAAACAAACAAAACCTAATCCGCATTTGGTGTCATCACCTTGAATACATGTTTTGAATTCAGTACAGCCCTTCTGGCGTCTTCTCCGTGACTGTTGCAGCTGAGCTTCATGTTATTCAGTTGCCCAGTCAGGTTAGCGAAGCCTTCTGTAAATTAGAAAAGAAATCTATAAATATGAGGACAGGTCCTTTGTCCAGCGCATATGGCTTTATGTCTGTGTTTTTGGAACCAGAGCTCGAGAATAAAGCCTGTAACGTGAGAAATGACTGCCATATGGAATTCTTCCGGCCACCAGTTTCTCAGATTGAACCATAATCCTTTCAACTACACACAGTATATTGCGCTTTTCCAAAATGGACATTTGCTGCTTGTTTGGTGTTGATGAGAAATCCCTGTTTAACAGCCAAGATCCTCTGCATGTAAACGGCACATTCCGTCTCTCATGCTCTACATGTAAGCCATATTTTGATGTAACATTCTTTTTTTGACATAATAAATATGAAGGCTGGACTGAGATAAATTATGGAGGCAGACAAAAACAGAAAGAATCCTCTCCTCCTGAGATTTTACCAGATTAATTTTTTTATTTTCATATTCACACCTGATGGTGCAGATCTCCCTGGAGTCTCACAAAAAAGCCTTTTCACATATAACCGCGTGTCCTCAGGACCTTAGCATACACAGTGTCCTAGTAATCCTACAGACGCACCAGCATTGTACTGGGCTGCTGATGCCTTCATGTTATCACCACACTGAATCTGGAGTTTCGGTGGCTCGATGGCACTATCTTACTGTCCAGACAAAGTGGCGTTTCTGTGGGTGGAGACTGACGCACCAACCAGCTGAACTTCAGATGGTTTAAATAGAGCTCAATCGTTGGTTCTTTTGCTGTTTTAGAGATTGAGTCGCACAGTTTGTGTCACAGTTCTGTTTCCAAACTCTGTGAGGAGTTTAAGAGGAGGAGACACAGACTGAGATCAATTGACGACAAACCTGAAGACACCTGCTTTAAGGGGTTCTCACTACTTGAACAGTAAGTAGTTCAGACCATTGTGTGATTATACCTTAACCGAGGACTCGCATGTAATTGTAGAAAAAAGTATTACAACAAGGCAATTCAAACACATTAAGACACAATATAAAAGAAAAACAAGACGACAGAAAGAAACCAGAGTAAAATAAAATAGAAACTAACCAACAGTATACAAAGTAGATAAAATTAGAAATCACACTTTATTTTACAGAATTTTTCAGAAAGGTAATGGCGGTTTAGGAGGAAATACAGGAGCAGATACCAAAGCATTTGTTTGCATTTATTCATTTATTTGCAGAGGAACATTAAACTCTAAGTAAACATTTACTTTGCTTGTACTGAAGGTACATTTGTACCTTACCAGAAGACAAAGTTCACATCTTTGCACATATGGCTGAGCTGCTGGGAACTGCAGTTTACTGTGTACGTGTTCTAAGTGTTCACTTTTCTGTACTGAATGCTTTTACTTTTAAAACCTAAAGTATAATTTGTGATTGTTTCCCCTGTTTTCCTGCCAGTTTTACTGAAGTAAAGATTGAATCCTTCCTCCACCACTTCCCTGTACAGAGCCCAGCGTTGTTTGATATTTAATATTTATTTATTGGAAGCAGCTGCCTGAAAACAGGACTGAACAAGCTCAGTAACAGAGATGAAAATAAGAAAAAGATGCCAGCTCCAAAGACAAGAGTTAGACTAGACATGTTGAAACATGGTCTGTGTAACAGCTTAATATTTCCGAATTCATTTATCAGTGAAATGTCTGTTAACATCATGATTTAATTAGATTTTTGATCTGTAAATAAGTGACAAACCAGTGTTTTAGGCATTTGAACAAATACTAATGCTACTTGGTGAATTGAATTCCCCGTTGTTCATTAATGTACGTTCTGATTGGACAGATAAACAGTAATGATAGTTTTGGTTTTCTTGGTTGATGACTGGATGTATTTGTCTTTGGCTCCTGATTTTTTTTAAGGCTTTATTATATGATTCTTTAAAAATGTGTCAAACAATTCATCGGGTGCGATTTGGTACACTTGCACCACACAACCATGGTAATCTGACGAGTAGCTCGGGGCACACATGCTGATTGTTGACATTTAGCGCTATCTATTGGTCGTGATTCGTGTACGAATTGAGCCCCTTTTCAGAGTTTTCTGATCTCCGATGTAAAGCGAACGCAACATTCCTAAACGCTCCAACAGCAAATCTGTAAACTGAGTCGACGGCGCCATCTTGTGGTCGGTAGTTTCTGCCGTAGTTTGAAGTTTGACATGTTGAGGTTGAAAGACAGATGTGTTGCCGTGGTAATGTTTGATAAGAGACGATGTCCACGTTGTTCCTGGACTTTGTCCCAAATATAACCCCGGGAGACGCCGAACAAAATTAGCCCACAGACGACAAAGCCGAAGACAGCAGCCCCAGCTAAAGTCCAAGTTACTCTGCTCATAGAGAAACAGTAAGTACTTAATACACTTAACGTTAGTTTAGATTAATTAATAGTCATGCATGTATAGGAAGTTTGGGGCGACAGCGGCACGGTGGATAGAGCAACAGCCTCCTAACCGCAAGATTGAGGGTTCGAACCTGGGTGCCGTACGCACGCAGCGGCCCGGGGCCCTCGTTTCGTTGTACGTGTTAAAATAAAGCTTCTTCTGCTCAGGTAATTAACTTAGTTCAATAAGGTGACAAAACGACGCTGAAGTTGAAATCCGACACAACAGGTAAAGATTCAGGTTGCATTAAACTTGGGGTAAAGTGTAAATCGGTATGTTTTCCGGGTTCTTTCATTTGCTTGTGTTTTGAAAAGGTGTTAAGTTTCCGTTTTGTTTAACCATTCTTCTATTTGTGAAAAGGCTTTATTTGTCTTTGGCTCCTTGATCAGCTCAGCTCAGGATGGACAGGGAACGGTGCTGTGTGAGGCTGTCGGTCCAGCCGTCCAGAGGACTCGTGGATGAGAAGTTCGTTGTCCTGGTCGAGGGCGCCCTCCCTGGAGTCCAGCTGACCGTCCACGCTGCCCATCAGAGTGAAGATGGACACAGCTGGGAGGCGTTTGCCCACTACAATGCCAACGCCACCGGAGCTGTGAACGGTACATTGCTCAGTACTTAGACCTGAAAAATTAGTTTAGGAATGACGGCAGGTATTGAAAAGTTTGAAGTGCAGATTTTTTTCAATAAAATCTTGCATGGAAAGAATGAACGTCAGCATGGCAAATAATTGTTCTTATTTTTTACATTACAGTTGCAAAGGACCCCAGTCTGGGTGGGACATATTCTGGGGTTGAACCCATGGGCCTGCTGTGGAGCCTCAGACCGGTTCCAGGCAGTATACCTGGACTCAGGTACGTCAACCAGACCAGAACTGTTCAGATGATACCAATTAAGACTGAATTGGTATCAGAGCTGACTCTTCCACCATCCCTCCCTCAGGGTGAGGAAGACGGACGTCCAGACTCCCATGGTGGTCACTATCTCAGTGTACCAGGGTCAGCTGACTGAGGGTTTCGTGGATGAGGTGCCGCTGGCCAGTGTGGTGGTGGAGCGCTGGTACATGGCTCCAGGTGTCCGCAGGATCCCGATCACCGAGGGCGGACTCACTGCAACTCTTTTTCTGCCCCCAGGTAGGACCAGAGGCGAGTCTGGAGAGAGGTGTTCTAGGGGTGAACCACAAACAATAACTAAACCTGCCTTGTGGTAGCTTGGATAAACATTAACCATCTAAGTTAACCACCTTCAGTTTGGAGACTGAGGTACAGTTTTACCTGAGGCTTAAGTTGTGAGATAATTTGGAGCTTTGGTAACCAGAGACATTCTGCAGCCAAATTCAGATTTAAGATCAAATTCTCAGTGTGACCCATGTCTGTAAACCAACCTGTCAGATTACAACATGAAATGACATGTTTGTGGATTTTCAGTGCATAGATGTGTCAGCACTGTGGCCAAAGTCTGTTTATCGTTTTGCTGGTTTTTCAAAATGCCACATTGCTACAGATGGCCGACGTGCCTTTTATGTGATAGGATTTTTTTTTGTTGACATCCTAGTACTGCACTCAAACCAATGTCGCATGGCCTCAACACAGATTGAGACGATGGTTTTTCTGTACCCATCTTACACAGTGTGACATCTAGTAAACTTGATGACTGTTGTTATCACACAGTCCAAAGGAAGCATAAGTTCTTTGCTACTGGCAGGTAATGTAAGAAAAGCTAAGTGAATTAAGTGGTTAGGAAACACTCAAAAATGTTCCCATCAGATGTAACCTCAGAGGAACAGCAGTACATACATAACCATGACCATGAAACTGACTTTTTGGTTTGTTTGAATTATCTGAAGGACCCGGACCTTTCCCCGGTCTGCTGGACCTGTGGGGGGGTAGTGGGGGTTTGCTGGAGTACCGTGCAGCGCTGCTGGCCTCTCATGGCGTCGCCTCTCTGGCTCTCGACTACCTGACACCTAGAATCACCGTGGAAACAGGCAAGATGGTGGACAGCCAGTACATTGAGGTAAACCCGATGAATCTAACATTAGCTTAAGCATTTTCTAATTAAATAATAATCCTATTTATCGAGCACCTTTCAAACAGAGTTACAAAGTGCTTTCCGTTAAAAACAGAATAAAAGTATTAAAATTAGAAAGAAGTTTATAACATGACAATAAGATGCGTTGATTCAGAGGTCATGCCAAAAAGTGAGTTTTAGGAGATTTAAAGGAAGACACTGAGTTTGCCTGCGTGTAAAAACCTTCTGCTGTAAACATCTGGCAGACACTGATGGTTGTGTCCACCTGGTAAATGTAATATTCGCTCTGCACCTTTCTGCCAAAGCACAGTTAAAACTTTTACAGCCTTCTGAAGCGCTCTGGAGGTGTTTGATGCTGAAACACAACAAGTTGCAACAGTTAACAACACTGAACTATAATCCCCTGAGAATGATTTTAAGATAAACAGATTTTCAGCTGTTGGTGTTGCTATGAGCTAATGCCACAGCTAGGCGTGTTGATGGGGGCACAGTTGTGTCTCTGATCAGTGGTGCTTAATAAGATGAGAGATGAGTTATGAGTCGTGGCAGCTTACACTGTGTAACAGTTTTAATCTCCCTTTTGCTAAAGTCTTTCTTAAGCAAACTACGAACTTCTGTGCAACACTGAACCTGCAACATCATCTTTTGACCCTCAGGTCAGATAAGATAAAAAAAATCAATGATCTCTAACAGGACGAGCAACAAAGCAGGGGTCCTCTTTTCAGGACAGCCAAGCAAAAGTAAATATAACCTAATCCTTTGAACTTTTTAAATTCAGGAAACGTAATTACACAACTTTAAGTCACCAAATGGTGACTCTCAGAGGAAGATCACACCCAGGTCATTGCAACCTGCGTCACACTAATGGGGGAGCTGCCACAACATGATGACAGTCGTTTGTTCAGAAGGTCTGTGACATGTAGTCATGGCCATAACAATTGACAGCCCTGCATTTCTGTCGGATGACACACAACTTCTCCCAGAAAATTGTTCCAATCACAAATTCTTTGGTATTCTCAGTTGATTTCCTTTGTTTGCTTTGCAACAGCAGAAAAAAGCCAAATCTGATCCAGTCCACACAGAGCGCCAAACATGGGCTGGACAGAACTATTGACACCCTCAACTTAATATTTGGTAGCACAGCCTTTGGACAAAATTACTGAAAGCTGTCGCTTCCTGCCTTAGCCCAATTGCTGGCTGGGATTGGCTCCGCCCCCCCCCCCCCCCCCCGCTTTCCGGGGTTCACACATGAAACTGAATGTCGCTTCCTGTAGCCATGAGTGCATTTCTTCCACCTCTCTACTGGAATTCTGGACCTCTCTTCTTTTGCCAGCTTCTCCGGGTCTCTCAGATTTGAAGGCTTCCTTCTCCCAGCTGCTGTTTTGAGATCTCTCCATGGCATTATGTGGTCTCCTTGTTGCAGTTCTGACAGTTTGCTCTCCGACATGTGTTCTGCTACAGACGGCCTATAGAGTCCTGCAGCAGCATCCTCAGATCCTCAGCTGCAGGATCGCCATGCTGGGCCTTTGCTTTGGCGCTGGTGTTGTCTTCAAAATGGCTGCTTACTCACAGGTTATAAAGGTAAGACAGGTTTAGCTGACACTTATTTTTGTCATCTGGATGTAGTTTAACATGGCTCCACTAGTTTAATGAAGGTTAGTTGAAGCTTACACTCTAAAAGCTGGGGAGGATTGTTTCCTCCTGCTTTCATGTAATTGTTGGTTTTAGGTAATATTTAAGGTTTTATTTAACTCTATATAAACATTTCAATGTTTTATCCATCTCTGTGCATTGTGTTAAGCGCTTTGAATTGCATGTGAAAATGTGCTATGTAAATGAACTTGCTTTGCCTAAAGTGTTTGTGCATATGTGGATGTTTGTTTTGGGTGAATCCAGAACTGTATCTGTGTGCCTGTGGTAGTGGTCAGCACAAACACAGGCTTCACCTGGATCAGATAACACCTGACATGAAGGGACCTCTCATTTCACTGGAAACAGTTTCTCAAGTTCTGTGTGTTTTCTAACATAACATGAACACGTAGCATGAACTAGCATGGGAAGAAAAGACAAGCGTCGGAAACGAAGAGACACTGAAGCCAAATGAGAAGGTCCCAGTATTTTAGCTGGTTGGCATCAGAAATGCGCAAGTCAAAGTTTACTAATGCTGCAAAAGCTCTGCAACCCTGATTGAATTAATTTCAGTCACTTACAGTGCAGTGCTGATGTCTCTCTGTTCTGTGTGACACACAGACCTGTTCGCCCTTTGAGTTCTGACCACGTTTGTTTCTCAGCTGATACTACCTAATCTTCCGCACATTTAAAGAGCATGTGACTGTCTCCCAGCCCAGATGTGCAGTGTGTCTTAGTGGGACTCACGTGCAGCCGGTTAATGGATTTATGGAAGAACTGATTGATGTCCTTCGTAAGTAAGTTGAAATCATATAAAATAAGTGAAGCGATAAGAAGATGGACAGATAATTAAAGGCTGAATAAAGGCACCATCATTCAGAATCCTGGAAGTCGAGTGATTTTCTATCTTCTTTAAATTTGTTTTTTTTTTTCTAATCAGACAAGAGAATAAGTGTCGCTTCAGTGAGGAGAATGAGGTGATCTGGCGAGATCTGGTGCTGCCCATCCCCACTGACCCCAAACTCAAAGTGGACGTGAGTACCACCAGCCACACAGTTCCATTTTTCAGTTCTGCAACACAAGTGTCTGTTCTTTTTTTTTTTAATGGTTCTTTGCTTTAATGTGATAGTGCAACAGTTCCCATTGGTGTTCATCATAACCACTCTACAACCAGAACACTGGATGTGTAGCTAAGATTTTAGATGCAGTCGAGAGACCTGCCCGTCGAACCTTTGTTTTTGTTTTATTATATTTTATTTTTAGTCAGCCAGTGTGCATTACAGTAGAAGGTAGCCACAGTTTGTTGGAATGAAGCTAGGAAGCTATCAAAAATGCATTTGTCAAACATTTCAATAAGGAATTATAAATCAGAGGAATCACAAATGTGTATTCTTTAACAGTGCAAGCTGGTGCACATCAAACGCTCAGTAACAACGTGTGCTGTGGTTAACTGACGGGAGAAGCTTAAATTGGTTGGTAAACTCGGCTATAACTACATCTCAGAAGAAAAACGGCCTATAAGAGCATTGTTTCAACAGAAATACAAGTGTCCTGCCTGTCTCGTTATGACTACAGGATGGTTCCTGGAGGCAGTGGAAAGATGGCTTTAGTCGCCTTTCGGCATGAATATTCCAATATTCTGTTCACAGCTCATCACTGCAGCCAGTGATGAGCTGTGAACAGCTGCTGTTTGTCTCTGAGCAGGTTGGAAGAATCCGGTGTCCTCTGCTGCTGGTTGTAGGTGAGGACGATCAGAGCTGGCCTGCCCACGAGTCTGCAATGGATGTGAGTGTACTGACATGATGACATCCTGTGTGAATGAACCATCTTAGTCCAGAGGTTTGGAGTCTGGTTAGAAACTGGGTGAACAGTTTCAGGGATATAAGGAATCCTAACATGGCCAATGCTGAGTGAACACACAAGACAACAAGTGTGTGTGTGTGCCCTGTACTTATACAAACATTGGTTTTACATATTGGATACTTGCACTGCATCACTGCAGGACAGTGCTGTGGTGTGTGTTGTTGAGTACTCTTTACTGTGGGTGACATGCGCAGGCTGTCCGCTTGTCTTTATAGTTTTACTCTCTCTTGTTGGGCACGTGTCAGTTCTGCGCATCAGAAAAGTATCTGACAAATTCGAGAATATGCTTTGAACCTCCTGTTTTCCAGATGAAGGAGATGATGGAGCGGGCGGGGAACAGCCACCTGCTGACCATTCTGTCATACCCGAACACTGGTCACCTGATCGAACCTCCGTACACGCCGCACACCCGAGCCAGCAGGTTCAGAGGGGTCAAAGGAAGTCAGACACGTAGGTTCACTTTCAGACTGGAAGGTGGTTGGTGATTCGAGGGTTAGGTGCCAAAGTCAGGACCTGAGTTTCTGTTGCCTCGTGTCTTTGCAGTTATGGCTCTGTGGGGCGGAGAGATGGTGGCACATTCTCGTGCTCAGGAAGACGCCTGGAGGAAGATACTGGTCTTTCTGAGGGAGAATCTGTACGGCGGATCAAACCCTGGTCCAGCCTCACTTTCAAACCTGTAATCGAGGTGACCAAGGCTAATAAATACAGTCACTAGGTGAGAGGAGTTATTTCCAGGTGCCGCTGGGGAACCTTTCATTTAATCATCGGTACAAAAGATAAATGAATCTTGGAAATTATAGTACAGTCAAAATAATAGTTATTTACAGAGCACTTATCAAAACCAGGGAGTACAGAGTGCTTCACAACAAAACTATGAAAAACCATGTCATGAAAAGGTGATCAGTTAAGTCCATACAAAGTGCAGGAGCCAGAAAACTATCTAATCAGTATTTGGTGTCACAACCTTTACTATGTTTTGAACTGACTTCATCCCTGATTTGCCTCTGGCGTCTTCTGCCTTGCACCCTGCTCACATCCACTTCAGGAGTCTGTTGTTGGTTTCTTTTGAGTCTGAATGCACTGATTCTGAATTACATCTGCCATATGAGTGTTGTAATGTAGTTATTGACCAGTGTATGCTTTTAATGACTTGAATAACCCCAGAGTTCAAGGTGTTGAGTTTTCTCAGCTGTTCCTTTGAGACAGTGAAGCAACACGCTCATACCTGTTTTATTAAAGCAGCTCCTGCAACCAAATGACAGCACACCAGTGCTTTGGGATATGAAATACTATTAATATTTGATTAATAAATCCTCTGGCACTTCTTTATGCTGCTGCTGTGCTTCTTGTCTCAGGTTCTTCTCGCAGCCTTCAGCAGGTGGTTGGCCGTGTCCATAATGCAGCGCTGCTCTGAATGAAAGTGAATCCCTGCTCGGTTGTATTTTATTCCCTCTGTGCTTCTTCTCTGCTTCCAGGAAGTGAATCTCTGTGTCCTGTTGTGTTTGCCTTGAAGTGGTAAGTGAAATGCTGTTGTTGAGGAGCTGTGTAGTGAACTGCAGCTGTGTCCCTGGAAAGAGAAGCACCTTACTGTGGGTTGGATCTAATGCCACCTGTCGCTGCTGCTGTTGCCCAGCTCAGACCTGCAGTTTCTCTTCCAACAAGACATCCATCCATTATCTATACCGCTCATTCCTGACTAGGATCATGGGAGGCTGGAACCAAGCCCAGCTTGAAACTGGGAGAGAGGCGGGGTCCACCCTAGACGGGTCATCAGCCTGTCCCAGGGCTGACATGTAAACAAACAACCACACACACTCCTAGGGGCAGTTTAGAGTCACCAGTCAACCTAAGCTGTATGTCTTTGGACTGTGGGAGGTAGCTGGTGAACCCACAATGGCACTCATTTGTGGAGGCACTCCCCACTGCGTAAAAGGTTTGCACCACACTCCCTGTCACTGCATGTGAGCAGCAGCAGCTGTAGTTGTGAGGATACAAACATTCAGAGGGTTCGTGTCTTCCTGAGGGAAAGCCCTCATCAAAAGATGCACAGTGGTGTTACAACAGGATCCACACACAAAGAAATGAACAAATGATCAAACACTCACATGCTCTTGGATAAACACTGTGGCCCTGGAGCATATATTTGGATTGAAGCCTGCCTACAGTCGACCTCATGGTGGCGCTAGAGGAAAATTCAGTGGCTCACCAACCCAGCAGGAGTCGGCCTCAGGAGCCCACGAATGTGTCACAGCAGCTGAACTCCAACAGCAGAGGGAGGAACGTGGAGTCCCGGCCAGGATCCTCCAGCACATTCTTCATTTCCCACCGGCCTGGATCAGTTTCCTGAGCCGAGTATCAGCCGGCAGAGTTCAGACACCACTCACACACACTGAGCCACCACGGTGAGACAATGAGCTGCCCACCGGCCTCCCGATTTGACCGGCAGCCAGTTTTCTGCTTTTCCACTGTTCACTCATGCTGTTGTCTTCTTCATCCCAGGCAAAGTTCCTGACCCAGGATCAGATTAATGGTGAGACTCACATATATTCTACACTGCTGCTGGGAGGAGACACCGGGCTGGAGTGAATTACTGCTAGCGGGGTGTGTTAGTGGAATAAAACAACCACTTGTACATCTCTTTTAGTGCAGTGGGCTTCTTGGCAGTGCAGGGAACAAATGCAGGAGCTTTCACAGGATGGTTTCTCTGTGACATACCAGGGCAGTGGTGTTTTTAACCTGACAGCAGAATTCCCAGTACAAAGCAGCACTTGGTCTTGTTCAAGCTGAGCAGGTTCACACAGTGATCTGCTCATGTGATTGGTTTATTGTCTGTGTGAGGTTTGAGCCTTATGAATTTATTGCTTCTGCTTGAATGGACAGAGGAGTCACTGCTGACTTAGAACTATATCATAATTTTTATTTATGTTTTGAGTTTAATGGCAGGAACAGATTTATTTTAAGTTTAAAGGCTTTAAATAAAATAGCTCTATTCCAAAATACAGTACAATATGCTGTTGCATTCCGGTACTTTTAACCATGCTAACTCTGAGAGACGAAGCAGTCCAAGTAACTTCAAAACAGTGCTGATTTATTCAATGAACACAGGTAAAAATTAACATTACACGCTCAGGTATCTTGCACCTCCAACATGCACGCAGGCAGCTGAAAGATGAAAGACCCTGAACCACAACAGGCCTATACATTATATCACTTCGAGCTAACCCCATTCTACAAGGAGAGATGCCAAACCGTGGCGTCTCCCGGTGCCAGCTTTGCAGCTGGCCAGAGCAGTAGCCAAAACATGAGGAAAATCAATGTGTGAATGTCTGTTGATT